TATGAGACAAGCCCTTTCTCTCTCCCCACCAGTTTTTTCCTTTTCACAGCACTACCCACATGATCATGCTTTTGAAGAAAGAGAGGATCCAATTCTTCAGTTTTGTTGTCTTTTGCTTAAACTTGGAATGTACAGACCACAGAAGCTGGGACTACCTGAGCCTACCACCACCATCCCCAGGATCTGGGTACACAAGGGCTTACTAACCATATCACCAGGCTCACAAATCCATTGACACAACTCCCTACTGTGGGTATCAAATTCCAAACCTCTCAGTCTTAGTTTTTGTGCCCTCTTACATCTTGTACCCTCTTAGGCTTGGCAGAAATGTCTCAAGTCAGGGACTGCTGCTTTTTGGGACGGTCATCACCCATAAGAAGCCAAGGGGCAGCATCTGAGCTTGTAACTACTGGATCTGATGAAAAGATAAAGGAATGTTGATCCTCATTTGTCAGGATGGGAGTTATTTCCCCCCTCTTTATCTAAACCGGGAGCAGATATACGTAATACTTGCCAGATGTCGATGAAGTTAAAAAATGAGGAATTCAAAAGAACTGCCGAAAAGGATTCCCCTCCCTCCAATTTTTAGTGAAAAGATCTACCATACCTAGAAAGATTTCACATCCTTGCTTTCAGCATCAGTAAAACTTAAGAGCATGGTGGGAAGAAGCAATGAACCAATCACCGTTGCAGGGGTATGCAAATCTGTTTTCCCTGTACATGAAAACTGCGCATTACCTAACTGGGGGTGGGGGTGGAGGGGTGAAAAAGGAGAAAAAAAACTTTCAAAGTTTCAAGAAGGGTGAAAATAAAGGAAAGAGGAGAAAGAAGAAAGAAAAAAGAAGCCATACATCGCTTTCCTCAATCTGATACTCTCAAAGGGCTGCTTGTATAATTCGGTTCTCTTTCTCTCTTGTCCTGTTTTTTAATTTCCTCCCACTTCCAAATTTGGGGGGGCTGCAGCAAATTCCAGCACTTGGTGAACAGGCTTCACAAGCTGTGACATCACTCTGTCATCTTCTTCAGGGTATAATCGTTTGCTTTTTTTAAAAAAAATGTACAGTACATGTATTTAATTATTTCGGGTTTGGCTGTAGTGGACTGGCCATGGTTCAGTTGGGACAATAGCAGTACATGGGTCATGGGGACAGTCATTTTGGCTATGTACACATTCATAGTCGGTCCATGGCTTCCAACTAGTAGCGCTATTTCCGTAGATCTAGTACGCAAACCTGCAAAGAGGTAGGAAGAAAAAAGGGGGGGAAGGGATTTCAGAGATTTATTAGATTTGGACACCAACCAACTCCCAGAAGACTCCAGGCATCTTACAATTCAGAAAATGTGCACTATTTGTATTATACACATTACAATATGTACAGTAAACCTGATCACAGGCCAAAAAAAAAAAAAAAAGCAAAAGCATTTTGATAAATACAGGAGAGGATCAGCAGAAGTTCCTAGCCATTTCAGTTACCACTGTCGTATCTTTGTGGAATGAACTGAATTCCCATGACCAAGAAAAATGCAGCCAGAGTTGGGCACCATCAGCAACATACTCTGGTTGTTGATTAACGTGCATTCCAGACACTAGCAAACACAGATGTTGAATACTGACAGCCTTCTGGCTAAAATAAGAAACTTGATGGATCTATCAACATACTCTGGGGAATCACTTACACCGTGCAGTACAAAATATCCATGGTAGGAATAACTGATAAGGAACACAGACTTACTCTACCTTTGGGGTTCAACAAGTAGGACCTAAGGGCCATAAGTAACCCATCACCCTCAAATGGATTGGTAATACACATTTGTCAATAAATAAAGTTGATGGTCATAGGGATTTTTGCAGCCCAGATGTGTGAACCCAGCCCCTGATCCAGACCGGGACTAGGAACATAACTCGTTCAGCAAGAGTTGTCATGCTAGGTGGCGAAGCTAAAGGGTTCTGCTTAGGGCAGTCCTAGAAAATGCTTTTCAAAGGAGAGAGCTTGACGACATTTTGTTCTAGTGCCCTAAACAAGTTCAGGAACCTCCAGCTACGTAAAATGGAGTAACACAAATATTAACATAAAAAACTGTACAGTTTGGTAATGTCTAGTAAGGTGCTTTATAAACATAACAGGTTTTACATGACTCACATATTCAAGGGGCTAAGGAGTGGAAAAATAATAACTTCTATCCTTCTGGTATAAACTACTGATACTCTGATGCTTTTGAACTGATCTTTAAACTGAACGTATTATTATTGCAGTAGTTTTAATGTTTATAACATGGACATTTTAACTGTATTATTTTGTTGTATGCTGAGAGTTTAATACAGATTGGAGCCAAATAGAAATTGAATAAAAGTGACAAATGAATGGATTTTGCTCACTAAATTTTAACTATTTATTCTCTTATTCACACCATGGCTTTCCCATTTGCTTTAATTTTCCCCATGACTGTTGGCATTTTTATTAAAACCTGAAGTTTGCACTTCAACTAAAATAGATTATGTCTTTGTTCTGTTACAGTTCAATTGGCAATTTATGTAATTTGAAGCAACACCACATACATACATACATACAGGTAGTCCTCCATCAACGATAGTAATTGGGGTCGCAATTTCCATCGTTAAGCGCAGTGGTTGTAAAGCGTGACGCCATGTGACTACATCACTTAGCGACAGCAATTCTGGCAGCCATCATTAAGTGAATCCTGAGACATTAAGTGCGACGTTGCATGGTCACCATTTGTGACCTCCTGCCACCTTCCCCGCTGACTTTTTCAGAAGCTGGCAGTGAAGATTGCAAATGATGATCATGTGACTGTGGGACACTGTGACACTATAATTGCAAGCTGGTTGCAGAGTGCCCAGATTGCAATATGACCATGGGGACACTGCGACAGCTGGAACTTCGAGGACTGGTCCTAAGTATTACTTGTTCACTTATCCATTTTTTTCTTGGACACTAACATTCACAGAATTCATTTCAATTCACTCTTTCATGTATCACTAAAATTTCCTTACAAAACCCTAAAATACTTCTTTTACCGTTCCCTTATTTTAGTTTCCATCCCAAATCATTTCATCAATTTTCTTTTGAATTTCATTTGCTCTGCTGGAGACATCTTATTCAGTTGTTTTTATCCTTTTCCAAAATTTCATTCAAAATCACTCAGCATTTTCTCTATTTTAATCTTAAGTGTTCCTTGCTTTCTTTGACTTTCCAGCTTTGTACCTATATTTTTCCCTCTATGCACATTAAACAGTATCTATCTATCATCATGTTTTGTAGTAATCATTTTCTCATATGTACTTTTTCTCATCTATGGCCTCTTTTACTTCATCATTCTACCAATAATCCTTTTTCAAACATCCCTAGTGTAATGCCAACACTCTTCTGGGGCAATGTGTAATGTTTTTTTTTTTTTCACTCTTTCAATTCTGTTCCAGTGTCATCTACCTTATACAGGATTCATCTTTCCTTTTCCTACAGTAATTCTGTTTTAATTTCTTTTGCTTCTTTTCTTCCATGACCACTTTTCCCAAAAATCCACTCTTGATACAACCAAAAAATCTTTTCACTCATTTTTTGAGATTTATCACTACTGCATCCTTCACTAGTTTTCTCAATCTTTCATCATACGCAATCAAATCAACCATGCTTTTAGATATATATTAATTCGTCATTTGTACTCACAGATTTATTCTTAGATTAGACACTCACACAATATGTTTGTGTGTGTCTGTATGTATATATATATTATAATACATAAACACACTGACATACACTTTTTCTAAAAAGGTATTCACCTATCACCATTCTCAAGCCAAAATCTTTTGTGTACTCTCTCTCATTGACTTCCCAAAACCCATCTCTGGTTCTTCTATCAACCAATCACTGGAACCTAACATGCAACAATCATCAACTGATTACAGGTAGTCCTCAGGTAACGACCATTAGTTCAGCAGCTGTTTGAAGTTATGATGATGCTGAATGAGGAGAGTTACGGCTAGTCCTCAAAGTTGTGGCCACTGCAGCATCCCTGTGGTCATGATTCAGGAGCTTGGCAACTGGCTCGCAATTATGACGGTCACAGTGTCCTGCAGTCATGTGATTGCCATTTGTGACCTTCAGTCCTGGCTTCCGACAAGCAAAGTCAATGGGGAAGCTGGCAGGAGGTTGCAAATGGCAATCACGTGACATCACGCCTAATGACCACATAGGATCCGCCTAACAACCACAACTGGAAATGCCAGAGTAAAGTTGCACTTTACAACTGAGTTGCTTAGTAACAAACTTCCTGGTCCCACTTACCATTGTTAACCAAGGACTACACGTAAGTCCTATTTTCCTACATACACACATACATACATACATACTTCCACAGAGCAGGTGATACTGTTCCTATTTTGTAACACATATTTTAGCCCTTTCATACAGTTCCTTTCCTGTATTCATCAACTACAGTCCATGAGATCATCCCACTTACATTCAGATATATTACAACTTTTCCCTTTTCTCTTAGCTTCACAAACCCACAACACAGCTATTTTTCTGTCTTTCTTTTCATTCATTAATTCATGCTCTTTACATTTACTCCTCTTATGTGCCAAGTCATATTCTTCCATATTACATGGCCATCATTTAATGGGCTCACAGATATTAACTTCCACTGGCTATTGTGGCTTTGGTTAATCAAGCTTTTGCATAACACTTTTAAGTAAGATAGAGAAAATGTAGATTAGGTTCCTAACCGTAGTGTTATCTGTGCCACATGTACTGTATGTCCTTACCATAAAGACGGCAGGGACACGATACTGATTAGTTTTGGCACCTTTTGATCAGGCTGCCATGAATGTGATGAGGCACAGTGAGCAGTTACTCAGGAGTGTGTCTTTTCAGTAGTAGATCCCAATTCTGTAATGCTCTCACCATTGAAGTACACCTACTGCTATTTTTATTGTCTTTTCAGCACAAGACAAAATCTTTTTCATGTCTTTTAATGATGTGTTAATGCTGAGTTTCTAGAGAAATGTTTGTTTTTTTTAGATGCATTTAATGATGGGAATTTCTAAACCCTACCATTCGTTCCTTTGAGAAACATCCTGAAGGTACCAGAGTGGATTTTTCTTGAGTGAGGGATTTCATGAGAAGTTCCTTCAACATTTATCACATCTTCAAAATTTATTACAACTTCATCAGGTTTATTTAAACATAACCTTGCTTCTGGGAATATTTAAACATGCCCTGGATTACTTTCCCAGACAACTTGCAAAGGACTTTTTTTTAACTTTACCTTTACTTCCAATAACTATAATATTTCAATGGAAAACAATTTTGTTGCCTTTAAAAGTTATTAAAAGGTTGATATTGATAGAGACCCTAGTTTACAAATGCTGATGAATGAGCATTCTTCATAATATTAGAGTTATCAAGAATAAACTCTTGGTTCCTTCTCACAATTACTGGCTTGATTGCTTAATATTTTATTTTTATTTTAAAATATTAAATACATTGCAGGGGGAAAAAATCCACAAACCCAAGCACACACTACACTTTACAGGAGTAAAGCAGGACCCAAGCATACCCAGCACATTTGGGCACCCTGGGACTGGAATACGACTAAAGGACCAAGTATAAGATCTCATTTTGCTTTACTTACTGAACCATCTGAAGCACTCGCTCCAACTTTGTCTCCTGCTGCATTCCAGCAAACCTCAAAAATGCCTCCTGTTCCCCGATAACTATGCACCAGAGCACCCGTCTTAAAAAAAACACCAAAGAGGTTGGGATATAATATAACGCCATTACAGTAATAAAGCATTATTGTAAGTATCAACTGATTATTCTTCTGGCAAGTATGTATTCAAAGCAATGTGCACAATAATAATTAATTAGCCCAACTGTTCTTTCTGCAGCATGCATCAGTAAAATACAGTGCTGGATAACCTGTTAGATGTGCTAACAATTTGGACCCAAAGCAGGGAAACTGCTTGTGGTTGTGTTTGTCAATGGCCCCTTAAAGAAGCTGAGTGTTTCGTGAAAAAGGCACAGCTTCTTTAAGAGCCACTGATCGGTACAGCAAGCATTCCTAAGCCAGCTCTGAAAAACTTTTGTTAATTTGGAACTGAATAGTGCCCATCAGCAGAAGAAAGTACAAAACACTTCTCATATTATTTACAGATAGGTTTTCTTTGTGGTAGGTAGGGGAGAGACCAAACTCACAGTAATCAACTTTAAATGTTTAGAATGTAAGAAAAATACAGGCAGTGTTTTTATTGCCTAATCTGTAAAATGATCTGCACCTAAGATATAAAATACAGTAGAGTCTCGCTTATCTGACATAAACGGGCCGGCAGAACGTCGGATAAGCGAAAATGTTGGATAACACACAGTAACGATTGAGTGCGGTTAAAAAAAAAAAAACCGATCCACTGCGCCTATTGCAATCGATTTTTGCGTTGCGACGCTGCACTGTCAGGAGCAACAAGAAAGAGTACACTCATGCTCACAAACAAGCAGCACACTTTTCTCGTTGCCGATTTATGCGTGTTGTTGTGTTTTTTTTAGGGGCGTCGGATAAGACGGAATGTCGGATAAGCGAAGGTCGGTTAAACGAGACTCTACTGTACTTTAATTTAATAAGGCATAACAATGTCATTTTTCTGTCTTTCCCACAAAAACCATCCTTTTAATATGACATATGATCTGATTAACGCCACAAGAAACCTTTGATAAGAAAAAATAAACAGATAATATCACTAGCACTCCAGGAGACATACCTGTGTATTCCAGATGTGTACACATTTGTCGAAAGAGCCACTGGCCAGGTATCTACCATCAGGACTGAAAGCTACACTGTACACAGGTTCTTGATGTTTCGTCAAGGTGTGGATGCAAATCCCTCGGTCTACATCCCATAACCTGACCGTAGAATCAAAGGATGCACTGCCAAAGGCAATAGGAAAACAATTATTATTATTATTAACTGTAATTTATATATTTATTCATAAAGTTTACATCCCACCGCAGTCATAAAAAGACTCGACTTCAAAATGTAACATCTTCTCTCTCTCAGTGGCCACTACGCAAAACTGGCTGTTACTCTCCATTTCTCAGAACTTCTGAGATATGGAAAAATGTGGAATGTTGTTCATGAACAGGATGGAAATTCTGCCCATCTTGAATAAGAAAAGCCATTACATCAGGTCATTTCATATCAAGCAGCCATAACTTAGGTTAACATTAAGCAAGGAAAGTAAAACGAACTTGGCTGTTTAAGAAGGCAGCAAGCAACTGTGTGAGCAAAAGGGCCTTGTTGTGACTCAAGTACATGATGCTAAATCCTAGTGCTATATAGTATCTAAGACTGCTTAGGTTAGCTACATGATGATTGAGCATTATAACCATCATTCAAAGCATGCTAGTGCAAGGCACCTCCTTCTTGCCTAGTTTATATTCTGGAGAGAGAGGGGAATTAAGGAGATCCGAGTGGAAGTTCAAAGTCCTAACCTTAGGAAAACCATCATCTGTCAGTGTGGCAGGTTTGTGAATATGTTTAGTGACAGGATAAGCAAGGGTTGGCAACCCTTGTAAAATATAAATTACTAGGATACTTCTTCAGGTGTGACTTAAAAGAATATGTTAACCAATTTAATCTGATCTGTAATATTAAGAGAACCCACTTACAATTGATTTTAAACTATTTAATAAATGTTAATTTGATTCCTTGTTTAAATGTTTTAAAAGGGACTATATTTTCTCTTCCCCACATTCTATCTATTCATGTTACCTTACATGTTAAAAAAATAAAGGAAAAAAATAAAATAAAAGAATTTCCAGTCAGGAAAGGGATTGACGGTGGTAGCAAAACCAGTATGTTCTTTAGAGGTAACCTGTGTTAGTGGGATTACACTTTAAAATTCTGAAGGAAAAAAAAGAAAAGAAAAATAAGACATTATAAAATCATTTCTGAATATCTTGCAAATTTTCACAGAAAAATCCTGAGACACAGGTCTGAAACCTTTCTCTATTCAAAGGAGGCAGAATGGTGCGTAGTCTCCATATTTAATCCTCGATAGAACAGTTTCTAGGACTAGCTCAGAAAATTAAGCAAGCCAAATTACTGGCTTCATTTTTTTATTTCTACCCAGGGAAATCTCATGTCATATTACCTTGCTAACATAAGATTGGCGTTTGGATTGTTTGTTCCTGGCCCTGTAGGACTCCATTTGATAGTATAAATTTCTTTGTTGTGGGCTTGCAGGTCATGAACACAACTATCTTGCTTCATACTCCAGATCTAATAGAAAGGTGGATAAAGAAAGCCACAATCAGCCGTATTTAATTTTAGGTAAAGACGTTCTCATAAATCCTGCAGTGTTTTAAAGCAAAAACGATAAAAAGCAAAAGGATAAAACAAAGCAGTATTTTAATTCTTTTTTAAAAAAAGAGAGACCCATTTTAGATCTTGGATATGAGATAGCAACACTTCAGAATGAAATTATATTTTAAAAGCATGGGTTTCTATTCGGATTCACTTTGTTGAAATATCAACTTATAGTAGCTGTATGTCAGAAGAAATAGAATCAAGGCTTTTTTGTAACTATTTACAAAAGAGTGCACAAAATTTCTCTAGGAAAGGAGGTAGACTGATAAAAGATGTCAGATTCCATCCCCCACTTCAAGCAAGCTGATCTGATTTCCATATTGGCAGGGGAAAGACTACTTCCTCAGGCCCAGGGTGGAAGCTGAGTGTTCATCCTCTCTCATACTATTGCACAAATCCTATTCTTCATCATCTTCATCATCATCACTATTATTATCCTATCATAAGCGGGCACCCTCTTATGACTAAGAAAGCAATTAAGTCCTTTTGCATGCTATTAACTTTTCACACAGCAATGTAGCTGTAGGGCTCAGCCAGATGAAGGCAATGGTGATTTCCACAGTGCAATCACACAGATATGGAAATGAACGTTAAAACTACAACTGCAGGTGGGGGGAAGTTGCTTTCCCAATGATTTCTCAACAGGAGTCCAAAATCACCCAGCGCAGCAATGCGCTTTTACCTTTAGAGTCATGTCATCGGAACAAGAAGCCAGAAGATTACCAGTGGGATCCCATTTGATTGCATTTACTTCATTCTGAAAATGAGCAGCAAGAGGGATATTGGCATCTCGGTTTTCTTTATAAAAGAAACAGCAAAATTAAAGGAAGAAGAATGGTTTCCCACCTCGGCAAAAAACAGGAAGGGGACAGTGTAGAAAACATAGTGAAAAATGTCTGGCTAGAAGTAATCCAGGGACAGATGACATATTAGGAGAATCCATTAAGCCTGTCTGTTGGATTTTTACAGTGGATTAAATTTGTAAGGGGCCAATATCACAAAACATACTAATTAAAAAGTAATTTAGTAGAAGAGGTGCTTAGTACTGGGGAACTCCTGCTTGTTCTACTTTAGTTCCTACCACTGCCCAAGAACATCCTCTAAATAATATCACCATAGCACTACAACTTCCATAGCAACAGCATATAGACTTCATAAAGGTATATAAATTGCAAAAGTTGAATGATGTATACAACTTTTGCTTTCCCTGAAGGCTAGCTGAATTCATGCTCCAACATGAGACATGTCTTTAAAAAGCTGACACTTTTTTATTGGGAACTCTGACTTTTGACAAATTCTACCTAATATAGCTTACATACAGGGAAGAAAATGCTGAACTCCTGCTTCAACATCTGGAACATTTGATGTCATTTGATGTCCTCCAAATGAGTTAGGGTTGAATTTTTGAGAATCTGAAGATTGTGAATTATGGGAACTGTAGCCCAACACATTTGGAGGGTGCTTGGTGGGTTGGGAGAAAATGGATACCAGCTAAAGAAAAATTACTTACTGTGTGGCCCTGGAAGGTTTTTATGGGTTTATCTTGACCTAACTTACAGACATGAATACACATATCTGTACTACAGGAGGCAAATGTGTTGTTGCTCTGCCAGTCAACATCTAATGCTGGTGCTATTGACAAAAAAGAAAGAAGAAAGTAAGAAGAAATAAATCTTTTTTGCAATCATCAGCAAATGGAAATGATGAGCTGATTGGCCAGTTTAGAGTGAAACAGGATTTGGAATGCAAAGTATAATGCAAGGAAATCAGCTAAGGTGAAATATGGGAGACATCCTTGGTGTGAATACTGGTATACCAAATGCATTATATAGTGCTGAAAGAACACAGGGTAGTCCTTGAGCTACAATGGCAGTTGGGACTAGGATTGCCATTGCTAAGTGATGCGGTTGTAAAGCACGACATCACATGACCACATCGCATAGTGACCGCAATCCAGGCAGTCCCGGTTGCTGTCGTAACCCCAAGATGCACAGGTCGTTAAGCAGGAAGCAGTGGGAATCTCAGGGAAGAAGTGTGGGGGGGCCACAGGGGGGTGAGGGAGGCCCTGGGAGGCCCAGTGCAGGCCACACAGGTGTTGGGGGAGAGGGGTGCTGTGGAACAGCACGAGCAGAGAAAGGGTGGTGGGAGGAGAGTACGGTGCGTGCAAGCAAAGAAAGGCCGGGGTCGGGGGAAGAGGCACTTGCCCAAGCAATTTGCAACCTTCCCTGCTGGCTTTGCTTATGGGAAACTGGCAGGGAAGGTTGCAAATGGTGATCATGTGACTGTGAGATGTTGCAACTGGTTTTAAGTTCAAGCTGGTTGCCAAGTGCCCAAATTTTGTTCACATGACTGGGGGAGGGGGGCACTACAATGGCCAGAACTTCAAGGACTGGTTCTAAGTCCCTTTGTTCAGCGCCATCATAAATTTGAATGGTCGCTGAATGAACGGACATTAAGTGAGAACTACATGTATAATCAAGATTGAAATATGATAAATCATTATTTTAAGTAAAATCCTAAGAGTAGGATCAAGAAAGCAGTCTACTATAATACACTGCTGGTAGCGATCCAAACTAGAAGTTAAACTGACTCAAGAGAAAGTGAATTAAACAAAAGTTTTATTTTTCTGTCAAAAGAGGAAATCTGAAAGAAGATAGCAATTCTGTTTTTTTAAAAGAGCCTGTAATTCTCCCACAGCTGAACTAATTGGAATATCAATCATTAGTGGTGCTGGTAATATGCGCTGACCATAAACACACTACATTACACTACAAAAAAAGTTAAAATCCATTATTAACTAAGTCACAAAACATTGGCTTATGAACTGTTCTTCCTTTTATCTGAAAATACATACCAGAATGGAAAGGAAACTGCTGCTTGGCTTCTCCAGTATGTGCATCCCAAATAATTGTGGTCTGAATTCAAAAATGGAAGAAAAACCGTAAAATAGCTTTGTAATTTTGAATATGTTTAAATCTATCAGATCAACTGAAACGACGTTATTTAAGACCATATTGTTTTAAAGAATAGATTCCCTTTTAAAAGCTAACTAACAGAAGAGTATAAATTGTAGGCCCAAAAGTAATTTGGGTTGTAGGACTATATTCCTGCATCTGCCCCTTCCCTATCTCAAAAGAAGAGTGGCACCTGCGCATACTCGCTAGTTGCTCACAGTGAAGTTTCACACCCTAAACTCCTTCATAATTTCATCTTGCAACAACATATTTCAAATAAATCAATGTTGTCCTACCTTGTCCACACCTGCACTTAAAATGAAGTTCCCTTTCTTATTCCATTTTAACGCAAATATGGGACCTTTATGTTGTCCTAATGTGCTGGCGAGATTACCTGAAAATTAAAGGATCCAAGTTATATTTTGGCTGATCTTACCAAAAGTATTTAAAATAATTCCTTCTATAGTATTTTATATCTGAAAGAGGAAAAGAACTAAACATATTGCTCTCACCATCTTTAGTCCATATCCTTGCAAAACCATCGTATGACCCCGTCGCTAGAAGCGTACCTTCACTCTATGGGATAAAAAATATAAATATTATTCTATTACTACATGTTTCAAAAGTCTGTATCTTCAAACAGAGCATGCTCCCTTTGGTACAGGGATGTGTAACCTGTGAATTATGCACATCCCCTCTCAAAGCTTTGATGTGCCCCTGGAACTGCCTTTTCACTTGCTACTGGGATCACAACTCCATTTTTTTCTTCCTCCCAAGGGGAAAAAACCCATTCATTTGAAGAATTGCTACACCTGAGGAGAGGTGTGCAAAATGTTCCAACCCTGAAATATCCCATGATGACCTCAGTTAAAGTGTTCCTAACTTCCGATGGACATTGCTAACCTCTCATAAGATCAGAATGAAGTATCTGGGGGCAGACCATTTCAACTCTGAATCACCTTTGTGCACCTAATAAACTCCTAAGGTGTACTTAACGAGGCCTATCTGGAATACCCTTAGAGAAAAAATATTCCACAGCCTCTCTCAGGGATCAGTGGCTAGCCATTGTAACCAAGAAGCTTTTAAAAAATATTTCATTTCACACTGATCTTCTTGTACATTTATCATTTCTTCATACCCTTCCTTTAGTGAACTTGCAATAGTTGTTCCCTATTCTTCTCTGTGAAAGACTTGCTGGTGGCTGAGTTAATTCATTCTGATTTGATTCTAGGGCAAGTTTTTTGCTGCACAAAGATTTAATTGGGGGTGAATGTGTTCCCTGTCTCTGCCAAGATTATCAGGAAAAGCTAAAGATTGCTTTTGCTTCACCCATACAAATGCTACTACTCCAGTTACTTCACCTTCTCTGGAGCCACATTCCAGGCACAACTGCTGTTTTATAACTCCAACACAGTATAGTGCAAACCAATTTTCAAAGACTGCTGAATTTTGAAAGCTTTTTGAAAAACGGGATTGTTGTCTAGATTAATGAGTTTGTATAGCTAATATCCCTGGTATACCATATAATGACACTTCAGCAAAACACCTATTTTAACAGTTAGCATGAGCATATTGCTGCCACAGTAGTAATAAAAGATACACCCACAACTCTCATGGAAATCTGGAAGCAGACACCTCCAAATATGCATGTGTTAGAAGCTGAAAATATAGATTAATTTGAACATGGATGTTTTTGCTCACATTCCAATCCAGAGATGTTACATCTTTGTTACTTGGTACATCTTGTCCTCCTTCTCGTATACAGTGCCGAAGCACCAGCTGCGTAGATCCACTGGTACTGTTTTCACTAAGATTCCATATTCTTGCCGTTGAATCTCCAGATCTGCAAAATAAACAGATTAAAAAAAAAATACAATCCTTTTCAGCCAACACCACCAAAAGCTTAAAAAGAAAAGAGAAGAAATATGGAGTGTTCTTGAAAGCATCAAGAAAAGGTGTACTACCACTGTTTAGTTACAATCATCCCTCTACATAGAGAAGATTACATAACAGATATTCAAACTCCTTGGTGTTTAGGCAGATAACCTGATTGTTCCTGTTCAACCAATCAAACCAGAACTGCATTTTCTTGCATTCCCCCTTTCATATATCACTTAATGATAGTGTCCATTTGCTACTAATCAGAATCAAAATTACTTTTCCAATTCAACAAGTTCACAGATATGGAAATGAAGAAATGCTCCTTAGGATTAAAACTGGAATAGAGAGGTTACATTTTGAACTTCTTTAGGAAAACATACCCTGAGGCCAAAAGATCACTGACAGGGTTCCAGGCGCAGATGAAAACTTCAGATTCATGACCCCGCAGCACGACTGCTTTGTTAGGAGGGATTTCAACATCACCATCCACTTCCATCATATCTGTGTGATTATCTATCCAACAGAAAACATAAGAAAAGGAAGTATATTACCATTAAATTATTGTTGTTGTTGTTAATTCTTTTCTCATGCTGTACCTCCAGCTCAGGGGACACCCAGGGATATCATCACTTTTATTATTTGATTTTTGATTCACTCTTTCTACTCTCATAGATATATTGTTAATGGGCTATCTGCACACATCTACCAGAATTCTTTTTAGTAAGGTTCCATATCCTTATCATTGATTCTGTCTATGTTTTGATCCTGAAGTAAGAGTGTCCTTTGGTTGTTTTGAACTACAAGCCCCATCAACTCAAGCCCATGGAGCTAATAGTCAGGAAGAATAGGATACATAGCCTTAAATGTTTAGGAGGCACCAGTTTGGAGAAGCTGTCGTAGAATAGTATGTTGGTCTTTAAGCAGGGAGATGGTGATTTCAATCCTCACCTGACCACAGATTCAGAATAACCATAGCTCAATAACTGTCCTATGGGATATTCTATTTTGGGGGGAGGCTAAGACGACAGATGGATAAGAGAAACACCAAATGCTTTTATCACTGCTTCATCCTTAAAAAATGGATGAATTGCAAAAGAGAATGTAATTCAGTAATAAAGGAAATAACAGAACTGGCTTAAAATAAAGCCAAAAGAGTTTTGAAATTTATACAGTGTGTGCCTTTGTGCATGTTTGGTTCCCCCCACCACCACTTCCATGATGAAAATTATGTAAGCTCCAAGAGAATATTGGGATGGGTGCTAGATGGCAGTTTCCCAAAATAAATCTGTTTTGTGTAAACCTTCTTGGCTCTGTAAAACAGCTTAATGGTAGTTTTATCATGTTCATCTAATGTCAGTTGAATACTGCAGCTATGTGGCCAATCAGTGGTAAGATTCAGTAATCTATTTATTTGGCAAGAAAGGCATATTAAGCACATATTTCTCAGTAAACAACACCAGATGATTTACTAAAAACAATTTTATTCTGAGCTAGCATCAAAACCTGAGGTTTTTTTTTTTTTTAAATTAAAATGCCGAAAGGTTATATTTGGATTACATCAAGGGAACTGGGGAGTGGAAGTTGAAGATGATTATGTAGTGCATTTCACATTAAATGGGGAACCATGCTATGCAACGCCTTTGATCTCTGGCAAACTAATTTAAGAGGAGCCTTCTACTCATGGGTGGAAAAGTACTCCAAAGAGACAGAGGGCTGTGTGTGCTCACATACATGTGTATATGTGCTTGTGTGTGGAAGAGATCGAATCAGCTCTTCCAGCACAACTGGCATTGAATACAGCAGCTAGATATATCCACTTCTATGGAGACAGAGAGCCCCTATCATTTGCCTGTTTCGCCAGCAGGGGTGGCTGGAGCATCACAATCTCCTTACATCAACAGTTTGGATTTCCAGCATAAGCAGGCAAGAGGGGGTTGTAAATGCAAGCAAGGAAAGGAAGACAATGGTGGCCTAAAAAAAAAGGTGCGATTCCACGAATTTGTATGTTGCAAAACCAATCCAAATAATCATTATGTTAGGTGGATGTTTTCCCCCCGCTTTTGGCTTTACTTCACTGGTCTTCTCACCCATCGGACTGACTTGAAGGTTGAAATGTTTGAAACGTCCACATCACAGACTGTGTTTAAAAAAAAATTCTTTTTAAAAAAAATAAAAATGTTTAAAAGCTTTGAGTGTTTTTAATGCAGAAAGCGGGATAACCGTATTTTAAGTACACAAGCCAATGCCCAGGCTGTCTACCAACCCGTTTGCAATCTATTAATTGCAGCTTAGCTCACTTGCTATAGTGTGGGCTCCATTTTCTTCTCCATTTGCAGTATTTTCACCATTTTTCGTAGATCCTTGTTGATTTGTTGATGCTGCGGCCGCTGCGGCTGCTGCTTGCTGCTGAGCAAGCTTGTCTCTGTACGCCTGCTGTCTTGTTTGCACCACATCTGGCATCACGGCATCTATCAGCGAGAGAGACTCTATCGGCCTACCATCAAACAAAGTACCATCCTAAAAATACAGGGATAGAAGGTAAGAGACAAGTGGAAGAGGAGAAGGGGGGTGAAAAAACTTCATTAGTGATAGGTGAAATTTGCAACAGAAATTGGAGAACAGGACATAAATCCTGAATGTGTGGGATGAATAAATCCTACAGAATTTTGATGATTAACCCTGTTTATTGTATACTGAAAATCATGCAAGCTAGGAGTTATGCAACCGTAATTCTCTTTCTAAGAAGTGGAGAAGTTATAGCCAGCTAATTGACAATCTAGTAGGAAGCTATCATATACTGAATCCTGTCATTAGTCTGATTGTTTACACTGACAATCAGTAGCTGTTCATGGTTTTAGTCAGGAGTCTCACACCTTCCATATGCAAAGCGGGTATGTTACTCACCGAGTTTTACCCCAATACTTCTCAGATATTATGTATTTCTCTGCTACCCAGCTTTGGCAAAACTGCATTAAAAACTGAACTGTAATTAACAGTTGATACTTGAGTTATTTCTATTCTATTTTATTTTTGTTTATTCTGCAACTATCATTTTTTATGTGCCTGTTTTGCAAGGAATGCAGGGCAGGATTTGGCTCCTTTAAATAAGCACCTTCTTCTTCTTCCTCCTCCACTGGCTGAGTTGCTGGCTGACAAGAGGAGCGGAGCCTATAAAATAATGATTTACTTTAAACTGAAGCATTTCCATAACCCATCTGACAAGGCCTTTGGGGAATCAGCAACCAATAAGGGCACTGGAGTGAGGGAGGGCCAAACTCTGACTATTCAAGGTGCCCTCAAAAGCATATCCCCTAGAATAATGGGTTCAGTTTAGTACTATTCCCAGACAGGTGGAAGCCTTCAAATTAACTATTTCTCAGTGCACTACGCCTTTCAAGCACTGGACTCTGGACTGCAAAGGCCCAGAATGAATATTTCTGGATCCTGCCCTAATAGTGCCAGTAATGAAAAACACAGATTCCCTTTGTACTGGATACAGATGCTGAAGTACAGAAGGCATGCACTGTTCATGCATTTTTAAAGATGAGGCAGTGATGAAACTTCTGCTTGTCACTTCTTAGACACTAGGAAAAGTCAGTATCAATCAATAAGCTACAGCTGTTACCTGTAGCATGAAGGTTGGCAACATGGCACCTGTAATACCACTAGATGGCATATGTTGACTTTCTAAAAAAAATCAAGTGTTTAAAAAAGATGATGATGATGATGATGATGATGATAGAATAATATCAGAAATCAAAATTCAGTCATGGACAAATACTGTCAGAATTTTTTAGCACAGATATAGCCATGGAATTTGGCCTAGAGAAATGTGCTACAGTGGCAATAAATCGAGGTAACTGTAGATTACCCATAAGGGAACTAAGAAGAGTAATTAAAAATCAGTTAAAATCTGATTTAAAACACTTCAAATCACTATGAGCTAATTCAAAGTGAGAAAACCTACTTCAAGAGAAAGGCCTTGTTGACTTAGCAGAAACAATGGAAGCTGAGAAAAAAAAAAGAGGGAGAATTTTCTGTAGTGTGGGAGTAATGAAGGACAGAACTCAGTTACTTAAGAGAGATCTCTGACCGATCGTAATGTCTGGGCAAGTCATATTAACAAAGCCCAACGGCTGAGCCTTTTAAGACTTCAACAACAACAACAACAACTTATGAAATTTATATGCCACCTGGCTCCCAGTGACTCTGGGTGGTTCACAAATTGCTTAAAATAATAGAAGAAGGAAAACTACAAGAGACAAAAAGAAAGGTAAAGATGGGAGGATTATAAAACTGGATGGGACCAAAGGAAAACAACTCACAGAGTCTAAAGGGGGCTTCAGACACCCTCACCAATGGTCTAGGTGAAGACCCAGGTCTTCAAAGCCCTTTGAAATACCAGCATAGTGGGGGGGGGGGGAAATTCTTGGGGGGGGGGGGAATTTTTTCCCGAGGACAGGCACCGCTACAGAGAAGGTGTGCTTCTGGGGTCCTGACAGATGGCATTTGAAGATCGACTAGCAATCAGTGCAAGTGTTTCAATGTGGTTGTAAAATGTTCCAGGTACAGTACTGCTAGTTGCCCATGTTTTTCACCGAATTATGAATCTCATGAAGCAGCCAAATCTTGCAGTATCTTTGTTTTCAGAGCAGAAGTGGGGATTTCAACAGTTCCTCTTCAGACTATTATTACAAATTGTAACTTTGTTTAGTGCCCACAATGTTGCACAAAGTCATCTAGTGGTACAAGGTTGATGATCACTGCTGTAGGAACTGTCTAATGCCGCAGTAATGAACCACATCTAATTCACTCAGGCTTTTTAGCTAGAAAACACAGTTCCAACAACAGATACGCTGCCCAGTGGGTGGCTTCCAGAAAACCAAGGCCTAAAAGCGAAAATAAATCCGCTGGGACTAAGCATGTTGATAAAGAATATATATTTGCTTTTATAATTGCCATGGGGGGAAATGGAAGTCCAAGTTAAAGGTGATTTCATGAAAGAATTTTCAATGTCCTTTTGTTAATGTTTAGAGGGACAGGGAACTCCCTTTGATGGGAATTCTCCCTAATTTATCCTCATTACTTGCTCTGACCTGTCTCTCACAGGGCATGGATTCTCCCCCCCCCCCCCCCCCCCCCCCCCC